GTGTATGTGTAAACACCATTTGTGTTTGTGTATGTGCTTGCAACATATGTATGAATGCTTGTGTCTGCACTGGATATCTCTGAAAGACGTAAAACCCCGTACACAGTTGCCTCTGGGGAAAACTGTGGCTGAGGTACAGGGGTGGGAGGAAGCCTTTGTACCTTATACTCTTTTGTTCAGTATTCAAAAATAAAGAGATAATGGGGTGCCTGGGTGGCTCAGTCCTTAAGCGTCTGCCTTTGGCTCAGGTCATGATACCAGGGTCCTGGGATCAAGCCCGGCATCAGGCTCCTGCTCAGTGGGAAGCCTGCTTCTCCCTCTCCCACTCCCCCTACTTGTGTTCCCTCTCTGTCTCTCTCTCTGTGTCAAATAAATTAATTAAATCTTAAAAAAAAAAAGAAAGAAAGAAAAGAAAAAGAAAGAAAGAAAATAATTTTTAAAGATCCCTTGATCTTTCTGAGGCAGATCTGGTAGTGAACACATCTGTGGGCCACATCTCCCTAGTATGTCCACACTGGTGGTTTGCCTTTTCATTGTGAATGAAGCTATCATTGAGTGCCAAGCTTCTGTAATTATCTCCTGTAATTCTCAATAAATAAATAAATAAATAAACAAACCTAGTATTTATTTAAAAATTTAAAAATTTTTAAATTGCCATTTTAAAAAAAGATTTATTTATTTGCTTATTCATTTGAGGAAGAGGGAGCCTCTCTCTCAAATGCATGTGGGGGGAGGGGCAGAGGGCGAGAATCTTCACGCTGACTCTTAGATGAGAGCGGAGCCCAGATGGTTGTGGGGCTCAGTCTCACAACGCATGAGATCATGACCTGAGTGGAATCCAAGAGTCAGATGCTTAACCGACTAAATTACCCAAGTGCCCCTGAACTTGCCATTCTTGAAGGTCAAAAGAATGGTTAAATGTTGATAACTTCATGTGATTCAACCTAATATTATTGCCCTCCTTTTCAAATATCATTGCTCTCAATTTCAAAATGGCACTGAGGCTCAGAGAGGTTAAGCAGATGGTTTAAGGTCGCAAGATTAAGGGCCAGAGCCAGTACTCAAACCCAGGCTTGCTTGGCGCCGGAAGGGGGAATCTTAACTACTACACTCTGCTGTTCCTCTGTACTGGTTTTGTTCTTAAAGGATGCTATTCCTGTTTGTCCTAGTCCCCTCTGGTATTTAGATCCCTGAAGGCTGGAACTTGCTCACCTTTTCCTGTCTCTTCCAACATTGTGAAATGTGCCACTCAGCCCCCAAGAGTAAAATGCATATTGTTGGCTTGATCATATGACAAGGTGCGGGCAGATGTGCCCTCTGTCCACTCACCCACCCCCAGCTCCATCCTCAGAAAGGGGCCACAAAGCTCTTCCCTTCCCACAGTTGGGCAGGTGGTCAGCCTAGTGTAGCACTGTTAGAAGATGGTGGTGGTCCATCACTAGTGAGTGGAAATCACAAAAGGTGCTCACACTCAGGTAGTGAACCGTAGTGAGGGGACACAAGAGAGCCCAGTGGAAACTGTGCCCAGAACAGAGTCCGTGTTCCCTTGGGAAGCCTCCTGCAGTGACCTCTGACCTCTTCCGTTTAAGGTCTTGTATTGGCTTGTCCTCTTTGTAGGAAAGTTCCAGGATATACACTGTTGACCTGAGCCTTGCAAATCATGAGATCTTTATTCATCTTTATGTTCCTGACTTTGCACGTAGGAATCACTTCACGAAAAGTTGATTGAATTACATTTAATCTCAGCATCTTGTCAATTTCTGGCCAAATCCCTACGCTTGCCAAAGTCATCCCAGGTCAAGTCTGTGTTTTCTCTTACTGGCCCAGAGTCTGAGGTCACCTAACGACTCCCTGTGGCCTCTTTTCATCACCCATCCTGCACACAGCTCCTGCCTCTGAGGCATTCTCCACCACCCTCCCTGGCTACGTCATTCCAGGATGCCGGAGGACTTAGGGAGTTCCAAAGGAGGGCCTCAGGCTGTGCGGTCGTTTGTCACCTGCTAAACAGTTTAGCGCTCTGGGCACTAGAAGAAATCAAGAGAAGTGGGTTTCACAAGAGTGACCAGGAGGTGATCCTTGTAGCTGGTGGGGAGGGCCCATGGGGACTCACTGTACTCTTCTCCCTAGTTCTTGTATATATATGAAACTTTCCAGAATAAAAAATGAACAATTGTATTGGGTTTTGTCCCTTCTCTCATTTCTGTCCCATCTGTTTTGCCATTAGTGTTGTGTTAGGCTAGCCGTGAGACTCCACCACCGCCACTGAAGCATGTGCATGGAAAGAGGATGTTCTTTGTGTTGGGAAGTTGGGATTCTTGGCCCCACTCTGATTCTCCTTAGCTCCGTGTCTCAAGTCACAGATGTGATAGGGTTTCTCATCTGTGCTTTGTGAATAATATCCCTTGTCCCACATCACAGGGATACTGAGAGGATACAGCGAGAAATCACGCCTTCACGGTGCTTTGAAAAGCTAACCATTCTGTAAATTATTTTCTGCTCGTCTTTGCACATCTTTACGGGAGGTACAAGTGCGAGGTGACTTAGCAGGTGAAGTTCAATGTACTGGTATTTTGCATTAACCTCTAATGTTTTATAGCTGCTGCGGCAACCACCTGCTTCTGTTGGAAGAGCCTCTGGGCCACGTGCTTGGCAGCAGGCCCCTTGCTCCAGTTCCCTTTTGAAAGCCCCGTAGCTCTTCTCACATGCTGAGGCAAGCCTAGCACAGGTCCAGCCCCCTTACCGCATTCCCAGGGCAAGGGAGAGGCTTCCGCAGAACACTTGATCTGTTCAGAAGTGTGATGTCATAAGCTGCTTGATTGGGACAGGACTCCCTGCAGGCTGGGTATAATTTCAACTCTCAGGGCTAGGCAAAGGCCAGTGATGTGTTTTATTTCCAGAGCTCCTGGAGATTTTGTCCACTGTCCCCATGGAATCAGAGCTGCAGCTTTGACAGCCAGTGAAGTGGGAATTAAAATTCACCAAACCCTTTCAGTGGCACGCAAGGATTAAGTTTCCCCTGCCCCTTGGTTTTACCTGGGTGTTGTTACCGCTGATTCTTAGCCCTGAGCTAGGCTGCAAGACTTCCAGGTCCTACTTTCAGATCTGCCACACTTTTTTTTTTTTTTTTAAATATGAGGAAAAGCAAAATCCCTTTGAAGGACAAAGCAAATCAAACACGATGAGGCCTCCCGGCCATCTCTGGAGGCCCCACAAGGTTCTGTTTTGTCTTTTCAGCTGCGATCATAGCTCAGAGAAGGTCATGTTTTGTTTTTGTCTTTTGTCTTCCTGCCCGTTCCAGTCGGTCCCAGTCTTTTGAGGTGGGGATTGCTGGGAGATCACAATGTCGGGATTGTTCAGCAGGACAGTCCCCGGAGAGCAGGACTGAGGTCACATGTCTAGTGTTCTGAGCTGCCCAGAACCCGAAGACTTAGACCCTATACCCGTCAGTGTTTAATTGTGGGGCTTCTCTACAGGTCCACTGGCCCTGTATTTTAAATGAAAAGTCAGGACACATGATACATGTCTACACTTATGGAGGTTATGGTGTCAGAATGTTTGAGACCAGGATGCCCTGGAAAACCTTGAATATAGGTTCACCTTATTGCCAAGGATGCTGAAAGATCCCACAAAATACTTTTCTCATTTTTCACAATCCAGTTCACTCTTTGTAAAATCAGAATTCTTTCCAGTTTTTAGATGGGTTAAAAAGCACAGTTGCTCAGAGTAGGGACTTTGGAACAAGAATCCCAGCCCCACTACTTACTAGTTCTAGAACTCTCTGTGTAGCTTCTCAGTTCCTCGGTGACCTCCTGCGCAAGTGTGGACAATGCCCGTACCTTGTCTTATTTATTGTCATGAGGATTAAAGAGGCCACACATGATAAATAAATGATAGCTATTTGTAGTATGGTAAAAAGATACTTACAAAAGTCAAATGTGATAGTTGGAAGAAAGGAAGGATGGAGGCGGAAGGGAGGGAGGAAGGGAAGAAAGAAGATTAAAAAAAAAAGTCAAATGTGAGGCGGTTAACCTATGGAGGACAGGCTCACTGGTCACCAGGGTAGTGTTCAGCAGCAGTGCAGGAGGTGACTGGGTTTTCCCAGGTCATGCGGCTCCTGAAGAAGGGAAAAGGAATTAAAAAACGAAAAACAGAAAACTAAGTTTTTATTACGGAAAATTCTAGGCATTCATTCAAGTAGAGAAACCAGTATAAAGAACTCCAGATGCCCATCACCTAACTTCAAAACTTACCAGCAATTTGATAAATCTTATTTCATGTATCTCCTCCCCAAACCACTGCTAGCCCCCTACTATGAAATGTTTTAAAGCACATATCCCAGACGTTATATCATTTCACATTTAAGTCATTTATATGTATATGATCTCAAGGTCCTGGGATCCAGCCCATATTGGGGGCTCCCTGCTCAGCGGGGAGCCTGCTTCCCCTTTCCTTCTGCCTTCAGCTCCCCTTGCTTGTGCACTCTCTTGCTCTCACTCTTTCTCTGTCAAACAAATAAAATCTTTTTAAGAATAAGTATTTGTTGCATGGATACATTTTTGTTAAATGGATAATTGAATGAAAAACAAATGAGGCCCTACTTTCTACTGACGGGGGGATACCTGGGTGGCTCATTTGGTTAAGTGTCTGCCTTAGTTAGACTCAGGTCATGATCCCAGGGTCCTGTTTCTCCCTCGCCTGCTGCTCCCCCTGTGTGTGCTCTGGTCTCTCTCTCTCTCTGACAAATAAATAAATAAAATCTTTAAATAAAAATGAGACGAGGTTCGCCTTACAGTTTTCTCAGACTTTGTGATTCCCTGAGTTTGCTTAGCTAGCTTACGATGGAATGGGACACAATGAGCCAAGAAAAGTGGCTGTGGCAATGACTCAGTCACCTCCCCAGCTCTGTTTTCTCTGCCCTCCTCCTCACACACTTCCTTATCTTCTCCTCTTGTTGTACTGGTTCCCAGGCATCCCTGGAATAGCCAGAAGTTGACTCCATCATGGCGGAACTCAAGGTGGAGACCCGTGCCAGTGTGGACTGGCAGAAGCGCTGCCTGGCCCTGGAAACCCAGCTCTTCCGGTTCCGCCTGCAGGCCAGCAAGATCAGGGAGCTGCTTGCTGACAAGGTGAGTCCTGGAGAGCTAACCTACCTCCCTGCAGAGGTCAATGTCAGACAGGGCCAGAGTTAGAGAAGGAGAGTTGGGGAAGGTGAACTTTCTGCTGCTGCTTTTTTTTTTTTTTGAAGTATTAATTAATTTTTAATTGAGTATATTTGACATGTAACATTATATAATTTAAGGTATACCACATATTAATCTGATACATTTGTATATTATAATATGGTTGCCTTTGTAGTGGTAATTAGTGTTTCTATCCTGTTATGTAATTGTCATTTCTTTTTAGTGGTTGGAATAATGAAGTTCCAGTTTCCTAGCAAATTTGATGATTATAATGCAACATTATTGCCTATATTCACCATACTATGTATTATATCCCTAGGGCTTATTTACTACTCATTGCAGAAAGGTGAACTTTTAATGAGATATTTTGCACACATGCAAAATGAAACCTGGGGTACTTTTTTTTTAAGTCCAAAATCAGAGCAGCTTACTAAGCTGTCCTCTTGCATTCTTTCCTGCTCCAGAGAAGTGATAGAAATCTTCTCGGCGCTCCATAACCTCTTGGGACAACTGTGGCTAAAGTGGAGGTTCTATTATTCCCTTAATATTTCTTCTTCAGTGTGGGGAAGGAAGAGGGAAGAGATTTTTTTTTAATCTTCTTAGGGAAGAAGAGGGGAAAGCCACACCCTGCTGTCACCCTCTATTAAGCATAGGAGCTGTGGAAGGCAGCCTGGTTTCCTGGTGGTGAGGACACAGATTTTGGAGCCAGAGCCACCTGGCACTTACTGGCTGTGTGACCCTGGCGAGTCCCTTCGCCTCTAAGGCAGGTACACAAATGTCTGCCTTGCAGTTATTTTGAGAATTGTGTCAGGTCACATATATAAAGGTTCTGGCATGGAATAGGTCTTAAACGGGAATGATTATTATCTTTATAGGCTTGGGTGGTCTGGTCTGGGAAGCTGACCATCATTTGTAATATTTCTCTGGGAAGATGCATTCTAAACAGCTGACTTTCAGAAACACTTTGGAGTATAACCTATCTGGAGAGTAGAGACCTGTACTAAAGGGAAAAAAATTATATATTATATATATAATTATATATTATATATAATATATCATAATATAATATATTAATTGTATATTAATTGAATCAACTCTCTTCTAGTTTTGTTTGCATCATCCATCTGTGTAGCCAACCCTTTCTTACATACGACAAAAGTAAAACTCAGTCCACCCCTCTCCAAGGAATTTGCAATTCTGATTAGTAAAGCCTGAGGAAATGGCCAGTTTTACTGATAGCTCCACAAGCTGGCATTTCGGAAGACAAGTTATTGGCATTACCTCTGCATTTCCACTGCCGAGGATAGTAGCACTGGTTCAGCCTGAACTAGAACTTGTGAACTTTGGGTCTGTTGGCACTGCTGTCTCCAAGTTCAGGCTTTGCAAAACAGAGACCGGCTGTGTTCCTGTGGCCATGGTTCAGATAACTAAGAGAAAGGGTAGAATTAGGCCACCTCAGGAAAAGGGAAGCCGGCCTTAAATAGTGGTTCTCAAAGGGTGGTCCTGGGGCCACCCATGCCAGAAACCTGGAGTGCTTATTAAGCTTGTACATTCCTGGATGCCCCCTCGCCCAGTCCTCCTGGCCCAAATCTCCTAGGGGTGCCGCTCATAATGTGCATGTTTAACAAGCTCCCAGAAATTAGTTTCATAAAGTTTGAGAACCTTGCCTTAGGATAGCTTACTGGGGAAGGTGTGGGAGGGAAGGAGAGAGTAAGTAAGGGTCTCCTAGCTGGTTTAAAACACATCTCAGAGGAAAAAAACTTCTGTTCCTAGTGATAGGTACTACAAAATAACCTTAAAGAAAAGACCACTATGAAAAACGAAGAGGGAAAACCCACATGGTACTCAGCTTGGGCAGCTCAGTAGGACGGGCTGTGTGACTGGCCTCCCTGTAGTGATGAGAGGTTTGGGGTTTAATCTGTGGAGATAGAGATGAGGTCTGGCCCTTTGGAAGCTGGAGCTTAAACTGAAACTTTTACTGTAAAGTGAGGACTATCAAAGTTCTTTGCTGTAAGTTAAAAGGTAGACAAGGAAAAGAAAATCATCTGCCAACACAGGGAGATGACCAAACAGCTTCTTAGCCAAGGTTCAGGGCAGAAAAAACAAAAGAAAGCCAAAGAAAAGTATTCCTGGAGAGTGCGATGATGGTACTGGTTTAGTATTAGAATTTATACTCTTTGTGTGGATTAAGAACCCTGAGTTCTGGGCCAGTAATACCCATCGGAGACCTCGTAGGAACAGACACAGAACCTCTCTGGAGAAACAAGACCTCAACCCAAATCACACAGGATCCTCACGTTATCCCATAGTAAACCCATAGTAAAGATGCATATATGATCCAAAACGACTAAATGCTTGAGAGAATAATCTATCCTGAGTTAGAGTCTGCAGACACAACTAGATCCCACAAGAACTTGGAATAAGGAACTGTTGGCAAGACACCATAAAATAAATGAGTTCAAAATTATTGAAGAGGTAATGAAATGATTGAGCATGTGAGACAAGAACAAGACACTATCCAAAAAGATCAGGTAGACTGGAAAAAGAACCAAATAGAACTGCTGGAAACAAAAGATGTCTTCACTGCAATTAAATGTTCAACAGTTGAATTAAACATCCAATGAGGCACCATGGAGATGAGCTTAGAGAGTGGGAAGATGGGCCGAATGCAAGAAACCATCCGGAATGCAGCACAGAGAGAGAAAGGCCCAGAGGCTGAGACCTGGATGCTAGGATGACAAGATCCTATAAGGTACCTGAAGTGGAGGACAGGATGAAGGAGAGACGTTACTTGGAGAGATAATGGTGTAAAAATTCCCCAACTTGATGAAGGTTGTGCAGCCTCAGACTTGTGCAGCAGAACGAAACTGGGCAGTATGCATTTCTTAAAAATCTGCTGACTGTATTAGCTAGATTGTAGGATGGCTGCCGTAAGAAAGAACCCAAAAACATGACGGCTTAAAACCAGCAGCTGTTTATTTCCTTCTCGTGTAACCTTGCTGACGTGAGCAGTATAGTCCTGGGGTGATGTCTGCTGCATGGTTGAAGAGGGTTCCTGTGATGGCCACATTCCAGCCTCTTCCCTTTATGTGTATGACCTGGAGATTCCATTCATCGCTTCTGCTCATGTCCCATTGGCCAAAATTTATTCTCATGGTCATTCCCAGGTGCAGGGAAGATTGGAAAGTGCAGTCATTATTCTGGATAATGATGTGCTCTGTTCAAAGTTGGAGGCTTTATTTTGTGTGAGAAAGAAGAGGAAAACAGATCCTGGGGATCAAGGAGCAATCACTAGCCTGGAATTTAAATCTAGAATGATGATGATAAGTAGAAGTAGAGTCTATAAGTTTCAAATCAGTAGAGTAGGGAAATAGAATAAAGTCCATTAAATCTAGACCAGGAAGGAAAAACAAGAGTATTAAAAAAAAAAAAAAAAAAAGGAGTAACTAGAAGGCAGAAAATGCAACAGGAGAAATAAATCCAAATGTATCAGTCATAGGAGACATATATAAGAATGTCTTGTCACATACAAGAATGTAGCATTGCTATATGAAAAATTGGAAATATCCTAAATGTCTATCAACAGGGAAGTGGATAAACATACTGAGGGTATTTGTACGATGGAATACTACATTGCAGGTAGAAATGAATCGGGTGAGCTACGTGCTTAAATCTCAAACACCAGCACTGAACAAAAAAGATCCAGAGGACTTGTAGAGAACAATTTGGCTTGTATGAAGTTTTAAAACCTACAAGACAGTCTATCTATTGATTAGGGGTGTATGCAAATGAGATAAAATGTAAACACAACCAAGCGTGGGGTTGATGCTAGAAGTGAAATCAAAGAGTAGACTGGGGCCTTCGCCTCTCTGTAGTGGCCCATTTCTTATGTCAGAAGCAGAGACAACAGAAATTAAGATCTGATAAAGCTGAATGGTGGATACGTGTTTTAAAATATTATTCTCCATGTGTTTCCTGAAATATTTCATAATAAAAAAAATGTTTTACAGTGCCTTCCTCCCCTGTTCCCCAGGGTCCTTAAACACATCAGTAAACACACTTTCTCCCTCCACAACCTTTTGGGTGTAAGTAGGTTGAACTTTTGTAAGATTGGCCCCGTCTCCTCTTCCAGGCTGCCTTTGATCGTCATGTAGCTGAAATTCCCATGAAAAGGTTGGGGACTCAGACTGTGACTTGGGTAAAGAAAGGGGAAGCATGTAGACACAGGGCAGAAGAGGCTGGGGTGCCAGGGAAGAGGATAGAGAAAGACATCTTGACTAGGGATCATAGGCTGGGAGAATTGAGGAAGAGTACCAGGACAGTAGCCCAACACCGGACCTCGTGGCAGGAAACCTTAAAAGCCATAAACACCACGTTGCTCAATGTCAGGGCTGGGCCTGTCACCTGCAATCTTCCCCAAACCCACAGGACAGGTTCAACAGTTCACTTAAAGATTTTCCCGCATGCGTCAAGGTAAGTTTCAGATCACGGGAGGAGATGACTCAGGTTTCTCAGGAGAGCTGGTGCTGGGGCCAAGCCCAGGTCGGGTCTCTGTCGCGGCTCCTAGAACTTACTAGTTAATCATCACCAGTACCCACCTATACCGGCTAAGCCAGGTCAGCTCTCTGGGTCCCTCTGGCCAGCCCTCTCACTCGGCCACAGCCCGTGGGGATCGCACCACCTGGCTGGCTGATGGCCGCTCGCTCGTGGCTGTCTGTGGTGCAGGGCAGGCCAAGCCTGGGTGCTTCCCAGGGGAGCAGCGCTTCCTGGGATCAGATCCTGCCCATGGGCTATGAAGGCTTGGAAACGTGCCCTTCCTCCTTCCCCACCCTACAGCCTCCCTCTTGCAGAATTGCTGTTTGGGATGTGGAATGATCTGTGCTAAAAAGCAAATTTTTCTGAAAGAAAAGACATGGAGGTTACTGCATAATCCCTCTCCTAAGGGC